TGAAATCATAGACATACTGTACCCCGATGAAGGGCCAATTGTCTCAACTTCCAGTGCTCCTCCTGGGCCAACTCTGAATGGCCTATGGGGCGGCTCGCCCACAAGCGACGCTGCTTTCGCTTCAGGGCTCTTTGGAGTAACCAAATCCACAGTTGGTGCTGCCTTTGCACCTGGACTCGCCTTAGGCGACGTAGGCTCTCCAGATTTCGCCTTTGGAGGCGTCTTGGGTGGCGTCTTTGGCGCACTTGAAACTCTTCTTGGAGCTGGCGGCGGTGGTGGTACCTGAGGTGGCGCCGGGGGCGCTGGCGGTGGTGGTAGAGGGCCCTGGGCTGGAGAAGGCATTGCTGGAGGGGCCTTCCCAGAGATGGGTGGTGCCTGTGGTGGCTGTGGCCCTTGCGGAACCCACCCCTTCGGCGGGTGTGGAGGCGGCTTTGGACCCATCGCCACTGCCGCATTGCTGCTGGCCGGAAACTGGCCGCTCCTCTTCGGTGGCGTCTGAGGGGGACCCATCCCAGTCCTCTGACGAGCTCTTGGAGGGCTACCTGCGGCTGCTGGGGTCTCCTCGGACCAACCGTGGCCTCTCAGCCTCTTGTTGTGGATACGTAGTGACTCCTGGGTCAATCCAACCTGTGAAATCGAATCACCCGGGGCAACCTCATCGCCCACAGTGGAGTCTGGCTGGTGCTGTCCTCTTGGCGTCAAAGTCACACGCCCATGAGTAAGGCTCACCCTTCGCTCCATCTCAGGGCACTGAGAGATGATATGGCCTTTTTCTCCACAATGACCACACTTCAGACCCTTCGGATTCTTCCAGCTGAATCCACTGAAAGACCTCACAAAGGCGGGTCCTTTTTCCTCCTCAGCTTTCGGGTTGATCTCCAACTCCTCTCTCTTGTTTAACTGAGGGTTGTACATCCTTCGCATGACCCTTCTCTGACCTGGCAGTCTCGACCCTCTCACAACCTCATATGTAGGCGTTGGCCGGGACTCCTCTTCTCTCCTCTGAGCAGCGAAGTATGCAAACGCTTCCTTCTGCCTATTGTTCCAAGCCTGACGCTTGGCCTTACGACGACCAGCCTCGCGTCTTATAGTCATACATGGATCTCTTCAAAGCAAAGTGAAACACATGCCAACATGAGCATGTGTGAAAGTACATGTCACGTGCACATATAACAATCTGGCACTCATTCTGACATTAAGTTAAAACATGTACAGACATTCACACATCAGTAAAGGAAAACATATGTACATATGCATATGTATACATATATCACGCCGCGCTATGGTCGGGTTACGTCGTCGCTGCACCACAAACTTCGAAATCAAAAATTTGAACATCACTGACATCACTGCGTTTCGTTTGTTTGACATGACTGCCGTTTGAGAGTCGCAGATCTTTTCTACCAAAGCAGATTGGGGAATTCGATTGGACATGATTTTATGTCCAGAGTTTCATCCATTCAAATCATCCATTGATGTTTTGATAGGTGGACATCCCACCTTTGTGTTTGACCCAAACATTGGGCCTTCCCCCAAGCAGTGGAGTTCCTCCCCTTGCGAAATTGTGGGAGAAAAGGGGTGGGAAACGAAGTTGGGAGGGAAAAACTAGAAATTCTACACCCACAATTTTGTGAGCTTCCCGCCCACCCACCACATGCTTGAAGGGAAATGTCACACGACATAAAATCACTTTGATTTTTTTTTTGAATGCACAACATGTGAGAAATGCAACATGCATTGTGATTGTTACGGTGGGATACTGAACAACATGTTCATGAAATATGTTCAACGATTGTTTTGTTTGAAACATATTTTTTTTGAAGAGACGCTCTTTCATCGCTGTCCATTAGACTATAAACAAATATCAGCAAGCTGACATAAAGCTTATAGTCATACATGGATCTCTTCAAAGCAAAGTGAAACACATGCCAACATGAGCATGTGTGAAAGTACATGTCACGTGCACATATAACAATCTGGCACTCATTCTGACATTAAGTTAAAACATGTACAGACATTCACACATCAGTAAAGGAAAACATATGTACATATGCATATGTATACATATATCACGCCGCGCTATGGTCGGGTTACGTCGTCGCTGCACCACAAACTTCGAAATCAAAAATTTGAACACATCACTGACATCACTGCGTTTCGTTTGTTTGACATGACTGCCGTTTGAGAGTCGCAGATCTTTTCTACCAAAGCAGATTGGGGAATTCGATTGGACATGATTTTATGTCCAGAGTTTCGTCCATTCAAATCATCCATTGATGTTTTGATAGGTGGACATCCCACCTTTGTGTTTGACCCAAACATTGGGCCTTCCCCTTTCCGCTTCAGTTTCACGCTACAGGATTGGAGAGATTCGCCAGTGATGGGACAAACAGCTTTTGAAATGTTAGGCTCATTGAGGAAACTCAGTTCTTTCAAAGAGAATCTGCTGGATGCATCTGCTGGGTTTGACTTGGAAGCCACGCGTGCTATCTAAAGCATTGCATCGTTCTGTTCGTCCAAAGTTTCAAAACCAGAAGGAGGTCTCGCCATTCGGCAATGGGTGAATTTCCTTTGACCAGCACGTCGAAGACTGGCCGACTGTCTGTAAAGCAAGTGACACGCTGACATTTGAGGATGCTCGTCTCGCTTGCCATTTCGCAGTATTCCAAAAGGAGCAACGACGCATCAAGACCTCGGTCATCCAGTATGGCTTCTCTGTTTCTTGACTTCTCATGTTGCCTCAGTTCAGGCAAGGCAAGACGCCCGGACCTTCTTCATAGCTGTCTCTCTGCAAATCGAAGTTTCCCAAGGGTTGTTGGTAGCTCTTTGATTACCACTCTCTTCTGTTTCAAGATGCGCCCCAGAACCTCACACAACTCGCCCAAACTCGAGTCTTTGTTTCTTATTTTGATTGTGCCATTTTGCATCCATCAGGTCGAGTTCAACACCCAAAATTTCTGCTTTGTCTTCGAAAGGTTGCAGCTTGTCTTTGCTGTATTGGAAACCTGGAACATCAAAGGCTAAGGGCTGAGGTCATGGTGCTGGATTCATGCATTGCATGGCTAAGCAAGACAAAGTCGTCGAAGAAGGCCGACCAAAGCAAACTCAAGCACCTTCCTACCGCTAGTAGAACATTACTGACGCGCAAGAAATGATGCACGCTTGCTGCAGCTCCAAAAGGGATCACTTTCATGATGAAGTATTCCACGCACTTCTTGTCAGGATTCCAAATGGTGACATCTGAATCTTTGTAGTTGTCTCCATTCAGCGGAAGTTGTTTATATGCCGACTTGAGGTCAATGCAGGAAGCCTTGAAGTTTGGTTCATTGTCCCTCCAGGCCGGATGAACTTCGGCACACAAGCATTCACCTGATTCAAGCAAAAATTCCAAACGTCCGTCAAACAACAAGAACTTGAGGACAGTGAAGAGGGACCACAACGTAAGGTCCATGGCTCTCACTCCAGTTTCTCAGAGCTGGCAAACGTCATGTTCACTTGGTTCTCCTCGAAATCGTTGATGGGACGCAGCTCGTCCTTCTGGAGCACGCCAACCGACGAACGGGTAACCAATTGTCACCCATGTAGTCATCGATCTGACTGGGTTGGATGGGCCCTTCTAGCCAGCCTTTCTTTCCAGCTTCTACCAGTGTAGTCTCATACAGCTGTCGTTGCATTCGTTTCCATCGCTCAGTTTTGTTCTTCCAATTGTCACGGGTTCTCATACAGCTGTCGTTGCAGTTCGTTTCCATCGCTCAGTTTTGTGCTTCCAATTGTCATGGGTTTGAGAAGCTTGGTCTTGTTTCGCAACTCTTGGAAAGATGCCTGACTCGGTGACGGGTCTTGCTATCTTGACCCTGCCACCAGGTCGTCATTTGCAATGGACCCCATGAGTGGAATACGTTTTGGCGCCATGATCTTTGAAAAGAAGCTTGGTCTTGTTTCGCAACTCTTGGAAAAATTGCCTGACTCGGTGACTGGTCTTGCTATCTTGACCCTTCCACCAGGTCATCAAATAATCAAGGTCAGGCCAGTTCATGTCATTTGCAATGGACCCCATGAGTGGGATACGGTTTGGCGCCATGATCTTTGAAATGTTGGGGTTCATGTTGGACTTCAGTTGAATCTCCAGGTCGCTCGGCGCTTTTGCACGTTTAGCCCATTCTGTCAAATAGCAATGCGTCCTCTTGTCACTGCGTCAGGTGCTTGGCTGAGATGTTGAAATATCACACGCACTAAATCACTTCAGTTGAATCTCCAGGTCGCTCAGCGCTTTTGCACGTTCAGCCCATTCTGTCAAAATAACAATGCGACCTCTTGTCACTGCGTCAGGTGCTTGGCTGAGATGTTGAAATATCATACGCACTAAGTCACTAGGTGAATTTCTCAGTTCGTCATATGGATGCCACGATTGATCTATATATTCCAAAAATTACACAAAGTTGACCCCCCTCTTGGCTTCAGTTCGTAAAAGTTTGCTTCCTGCCGGAACGTCCTGTAGGGACTTGGTCAAACAATCCTCGTGGTCAACAGGAGGTAGATGTTTCACGTGAATGGCTTTCGTGCAGCTGTACTCTGGAATCAGCTGCGGCAGTTTGCGCCCCCCTTCGGATGTTGGTAAGGAGAAAGTTTTTGAACTTCCGTGGCAGTTTGTTGACTCGGGGGTGCCCAGCTTCTGAGCTGTGCTGAGTGATCCGTCCTCTGCAATGCCCCAAGGTTGATGAACATGTCGGCCAGCACAGTAAAGCTCAAGCTTGCAAAAATTCACGATGGCTTTTCCCTGGTGGAACTATGTGCGCAAGCATGCATGTCGACAAAGAAAATCCGTTGGCAACAGCCCATGTGAAATACTCCAGGCCCCACATCAAAGAATTTGTTGGGTTTTCGTTGTCCAGAGAATGCCAGCTCTGTTGAATTTCTGAACGTATTCACCACGAAATTTATAAATTTGATTGGCCATAAAAAAAATCTTTGTTGATCGCGTTGATTCAACGTTGGGAGTCTCAATGGATGTTCAGTAGATCGCAGCGGCTGTGGCCCTTTAGAGCCATCTGCAGACGGGATGCCCCTGGCCCGCGAACAAGTTCCGCACGGTGGTGCGATATGCACTCCAGCTACCAAAAACCTTTGAAGCAAGAACTCCAACCTGTCCCATGCATGTTGATGAAACAAATCTGACTAAATCAACTTGCAGCGTGGATAGCGGCAAAAATTTGTCATGATCGGCCGCCACAATGTTGTATCCAATTTGTTTGACAGCGCCCGAGGGTTTTGCGCTGCCTGCACATAATTCAACAAAACTGGTGTTTTGATCCCTGGGGGATCTGCAAATCACTCAATAAACCAGCAAAACGTCGCTCTGCTCGCAGCTTGGACTCAGCAAAGGATCCGTGGCCGGCTCTTCAACATGTTTGTAAAAGAAATCCGAATTCTGGGGTTTGTTATCTGTCCCCACTTGGTGGAGGATCATCCAAACGTGCTTGCATCATTTTCTCTGACCATGATTCCATGTTTCTGAAAATGACTATGTTTGCTTGTTCTAAGGCCAGCGCTCTGCGGGTCAGGCAATCACGCACCTGGATCTCTGAAGCACCGCTGCATGGTTCACACGGGCTTGCTTGTGAAGCTTAAGGACGCCTGAGGAGTTAAGAGGCAAAGTCTGGTCTTTCTTAGGCCCTTGCAATATCTCATGTTCTCGGCCTATGCAAACGTCCCGTGGAATGAACTGAATGCGGTCAGCATCATACCTTGCTATGCAACGGTCCGCTAGTGCGTTCCCAGGTTCGTAGGGTCCTGAAATGTTGACACCTAACAAACGTTGTTGTTGCAGACGCCAACGTTCCGCTCTCTGTGCCGGTGTCAGTCTATGGGTTGGCATGTCATCCGTTGCTTCAACAGAATACTTGATATCTGCAGCAACATTGGCATAGCTATCACTGAAAAGGTGTCCGACACAAGACATCACTACAGTTGAAGGTGCACGTTTCATTATCTCCTTTGCCAGCTGCATCAAGGGAAATTCATCTGCGCTTCCAAGTGAAAAGTGATATGCAAGGGCAAATTTTGCCAAGGTATCCAGTCCATAATTGATGGTCTGTTCTATCACTTCTGACTCAAGTACGACCGCCTCGCAACGTCTTTTGAAGACTGCCTTGTTGTCACCATAGCGCATGCTGGGCAAGGGAGCGGGCTATGATCAAGATTCAAAGCAAACGTCGTCAAGTTTTCAGCATGTGAGAGCTGTTGTTTCAAGGTACACGTTAGTGCATCATAGTTGCCATCAAAATTTTGTCAGGGTATTTCTATTCAGTTACGTCATGCGCATGCAAAAAAATGGAAATGAATTGAAACGAACATCCTTCTCCAGCTCAATAGCCGGAATGATTGCACATTGAGCCCAAACTTTGGGATCTGCTTGAATGAATGTTCAATCACAGTGTTGAACTTTCTTGGAGCATTCACATTGGCACTGCAACTTGCTCATGCCATACATGTCTGGTACTTTCATTGCTTTCAAATTTCCTTGTCGGGAAATTTTGTTGTGATTAATCGGCAGCGGAACACCTCCCTGCCTTTTTCCCGCTCATATTCAATTTTTGGCTCAGGTGGCCCGATCTTTGAAACACAATTGGCAAGCTGGATGACAAAAGGCAGGTTTGGGTTCCCGCACCTCGCAGGAAGCGGACATTTTCCTGCCGCAAACGAAATCCAGTCCAACTTCATCGGCCATGATGTGGATGCGTCTCGAAATCTTGTGGCGGACAAAAACGCCTTCTTCTGAAGGCAACTTCGGTGAGGACTCACTCAATTCATCTCCTTCTTTTTCTGCAACTTGATGCCCTGGTTCACGATGAAGAAAACGGCCCGAACTGAAAAAGTCGGGTAGAAAGGCCTGAGCCTTCACTGGTTGTATCATTTCATACATCTGTTGCACTGGTTCCGCCATGCTGTCTCTGGAGTAGCACAGCATGCTCTGCTCTTTGCTACCTGCATGGTATCCCATAAGTTTTCGCTGGGAATGCGCCATTCCAAACATTGCACACGTCGACAACAGGCTAGCCTTGAGGCTGTGAGTACCAATGGGAGTTCCCTGCTCCTCCAAGGTGTTCTGAAGCAAGCTGCGCAACCAGTTAGCTCCTGAAGTAACTGTCAATGGCATTCTGGACCAGGCTTCATTGGCAGCTGGTGTGGTCAGGGGAGGGATGAAGTCATCCTTGCTGTTGGCCGCTTCTCCCAAGAATTTCTCACGGAGTTTCAACCACGTAGGCAACCATTGTCTGTCACCAAACGGCAGAAGAGGTACGGTCACTGGCAAGTGACGCGCCCTCCTTTCTGGGCCGACCGACGTCTTGGATTTGGCTGCCACTGCTTCCACAAAGCCAAAGCCATCGGGCTGTTGATCGAGTTTGAGTTGACACACCTGTTGTCCATCACTGAGCCTCAGTCTTCCCAGTGGCGGTCTTTGTGTCAACTTTCTCTTCTCGGCATACAGAGTGTTGATCGGGTCATGGAGGCGGTCAGAGCTCATGATGGACAGCATCCCAGCGAGTCCACAATGAAAGTTCGTGAAACTCAAAGCCAAAAGAAAAGACCTGGCACATATTGCAGCCTTTGTTTCGCATGATTTCGCATAGTCATAAACCGCCGGTTCAATCAATGGAAAAGCCTGCAATCCTCTATCTTCACCAAACTGAATGTACTGCAAGATGGATCCTGTCGCCAAGTGGAGCATCGATGAGGCCTTGGTGCCTAACAAGTCTTTCACCGACTCAAGTAGGCCTCCACGTGCCAATCCCATGGTGTGGCAAGTGTCTTGCTGTCTGGCAACGTCAAAGGCTCCAACCTGCCTCAGGATGATGCTATCCCACTTCTTGTAAGTACCTTTGCGTTCCCACGACAATCTGTCTGACAACAAAAGGTCATCAGCATGTTTGGCATCTTTGACTCCATTCTGTTTGAAGGGAAGAGTCTCAGCTATAGCACCTTCTGAGTTACGAACCTTTGCAGAAACTGGCATGGGAGGCAGTGGTCCATGCAAGTCAATCTCGTTGGTCCTGAGCCTTTTGCATGCGTCCCATGGAGTGTCCATCGAGAGTTCCCATGGCATTTTGAAAGTTGAATTTTGATCTGCATTCCAAATGTGTCTGATGTATCGTTCATGACATGAAGAGCTCACTGCAGGTGTAGTTAAGTCAAAACCCCCATTCCGCTTCAGCCTGTCTGCACCACGCCAGAGCCACGCAAAACACGCTATGAAGCCAATGCCGAAGCAAACACTACCCCAGCGCAAAAACTGAATGGTCCAAAAACGATGGTGGATCTGAATAGCAGTCTGAAATGCGTCACAGCCTTTCTCAGTGATCGACGTGGAAGGTAAATTAGTACCAGCTGTGATATGAGCATACATGCTGCAGGTGAGGTGATGTTTTGCAACAAAGATTGTTACAACCATGCACAGGACATAGAAAGCAGCACCCTTGTCGAGGACCTGTCGGTGTGGCTGGCGCTGGTGTGGTTGGTGCTGGGGTCGACGATGGAGCTTCATGTGAGGAGGCTGCCGATGGAACATTTGGGTCACCTGGGGATCTTCCAGCTTCATCCGCCACCTCAGGGTCACCGATGTCTGCTGACACCGTGAGGGGGATGCCAAGGCGTTTGGCCAGCTCGCACAAGATTGCGAGGGCGAAAGCCACTAACTGCTGTGTTGATAGCGATGGCACTTGGCGAAGGTCCATTGACCGCCCCCCTAAAAACTAGAAATTCTACACCCACAATTTTGTGAGCTTCAAAGCAAAGTGAAACACATGCCAACATGAGCATGTGTGAAAGTACATGTCACGTGCACATATAACAATCTGGCACTCATTCTGACATTAAGTTAAAACATGTACAGACATTCACACATCAGTAAAGGAAAACATATGTACATATGCATATGTATACATATATCACGCCGCGCTATGGTCGGGTTACGTCGTCGCTGCACCACAAACTTCGAAATCAAAAATTTGAACACATCACTGACATCACTGCGTTTCGTTTGTTTGACATGACTGCCGTTTGAGAGTCGCAGATCTTTTCTACCAAAGCAGATTGGGGAATTCGATTGGACATGATTTTATGTCCAGAGTTTCATCCATTCAAATCATCCATTGATGTTTTGATAGGTGGACATCCCACCTTTGTGTTTGACCCAAACATTGGGCCTTCCCCCAAGCAGTGGAGTTCCTCCCCTTGCGAAATTGTGGGAGAAAAGGGGTGGGAAACGAAGTTGGGAGGGAAAAACTAGAAATTCTACACCCACAATTTTGTGAGCTTCCCGCCCACCCACCACATGCTTGAAGGGAAATGTCACACGACATAAAATCACTTTGATTTTTTTTTTGAATGCACAACATGTGAGAAATGCAACATGCATTGTGATTGTTACGGTGGGATACTGAACAACATGTTCATGAAATATGTTCAACGATTGTTTTGTTTGAAACATTTTTTTTTGAAGAGACGCTCTTTCATCGCTGTCCATTAGACTATAAACAAATATCAGCAAGCTGACATAAAGCGTCTCTTCAGCAGACCAGTGGCCTCCCAGGCCTCTTTCTTCACCTGAATCACAAAGCGACCAGGCTTCCTGGGCATCTTCTTCACAGCAGGTTCACGTCCAGGAGCTTGAGACCTTCCTGACGGCCTTGCTTTCGCTTCAGGTCTGCCTCGAGTAGTAGGCATGGCTTTCTCCTTGGGCCTCGGCGGCTGAGCTTTCTTTGGAGTGACCTCCACAACATCCTCAGCCTCGGCAGCTGCAGTCTCTGATGCAACTGGTGCACCTGGTGCCGCTTCAGTAGCGGCAGGGGGAGCTGCAGCCTCTGCTGCCTTCGGCACTGCCTCAGCAGCTGGCACCACTGCCTCTGCAGATGTCACCGCAACAGTCGCAATATTGGCTTCACCACCTATGATGGTAACCGTATCATCAGATTCAGGTGCCGCACCGACACCTTCAGCTGTTGGATGCCCAAGGAGCGCATGGCTGTCCGGCGCTCTGGGCTCTTCTCGTTCTGCAGGGATACGTCCAGCCATAGCGGAACCGATTCCCTCGCCTTGAAACCTTTCGCAAACAGCTACAAGTGCATTGATCATATGAATGCATGAACGTGGAAATGGCGACAATTCACAAGTTGTTGAATTTGCAGGTTCTTCACAAATCAACTCTCCACAAAACATGCAGTTCCTGGTTGAAAACGCACACAAAAGACCTGAAAAACTGTTGTCGCGGATTTCAAAATCAAGCAAACAGTCCAAAAGAATACCTTCAAACGACGAAAAACCAAGTATTTCCATGTACTGCAACGCTTTGATCGTCGGCAAACATTTGGTAAAATGGTCAGCGACGTTTCCAGTTCCTCTGACATGTCCAATTTGCAGGATTTCTTTTCCCAAAAGTTCTCTCAACCAGTTCACTTTGATGTCGATATGTCTTGACCTACGCTGGAGGTCGGAACCTTCCAAAAGCATCTTCCCACTCAGGGAGTCGGTCCACAAGAGGATCGGACAGACAAAATCCAAACTGTCGTCCTCTGACAAAGACGGTGGATATACCTGAATGCGACGCAGGACAAAACTCAAACTTCTCAGCAAACCAATGGCTTCTTGGACAGCTGCCTGAACGGCAACGAGCTCTGCCTCGCATGAACTCAACGTCACAGATGCCTGATGTCGAGAGAAACACTTCAAAACAACACATCGGAAAACAATAACGCACCCAGTGATGCTTCTCCTCTGAGTAGCTTGCATAGGGGCAAATCCAGCATCACTATAAACTTCCAGACCGATGTCCTTTTCAGAAAGGTCCTCAAGTCCAGGTGAGGGAAATTTCTGGGACATCTTCATGTGCAACAACATAAATCGAAGCACGGCTCGCAGAGCTTTCTCATGGCCTGGCTTTGGACAAGATTGTCCAGTTGACAGCATTGCAATCAGGATCAAGATATCCTGCCGGGTCTGTGCCAGCCATGACAGACGTCCAAGAACTCTCCTGAACTTGGAGTGCGCCTCAGCGCTGATAGGCTCTTCCTGCAGTGTCTGCTCCAAAAATGGACGAAGATCAGGAAATGCAGTGGAACCTTTGGAGATTCCATACTCCTCGAACGCACTGTTCAGGTAATCCTGGTCAACAAACAACTGCAAACCTGAGCTTCCCTTCTCTCGGAGGATGGTGCGGCCTAGAAACTTCAATGAACCACCAGACATGGTCACTCGGCCAGTCTCTCGGATCTTGACCTGCTTCTCAAGAGCTTCAAACAGAACACGATACGCAGCCTCGCTGGGCGTGGCAACCAACAGGTCATCAACATAACAGATGACAAGGATGGGGGCACCCCGTACCATCCCACCGTACAAGCATGGCTCCACAAGTCCAGATCGGATGCCAACGCTTTTGACAATCCCATCAAAGAACAGAACCCAAGTCAAACTTGCGATACGAAGTCCATTCAAACCCTTGTAAGCCTCAAGGAAAACCGGTTCATTGTCAAGTGTGCTGATTGATGATGGAAGCCGGACACAAACCTTCACAGTGAGCGGTGAATTCATGAACGCCTGACTGACGTCAATCGCATAAAGGTTGAAACCTTTTCCACCAGTCCACATACCCGTTGCCGCTCCCAACAAAAGTCGTAGCGACTCAATCGAGGGTGTGGGGGAAGAGATACCTTCCTGCCTGGCGGTCTTCTGACCTTTAGCGAAATCTTTCACGACTATCCGAGCACGAACTCCTTCGTCGGCTTCAGGCTTGCTGTTCGTAACCCACCTGCAGGAGATAACTTTGATGTTGTGCTTCTTGCAAAACTGCAAGGCTTCCTTCTCCTTCATGATACGACCTGCCTTCACATGAGTCAATCCCTTGAGCTCTTTGACCATCGCAAGGAAAGTTCCTTGGGGGTCCAGTTCTTCAAGAGTGGTATCCGAAACAGCTCCTGTTGGCTTCCACAATCGAACCTTGGATCCACATAGCTCAACAACTTCAGAGTCATGAGCTCCACCTGAAAAACTGATAGACTCAACAGAGAACCGCTCCTCGGAGAGCAGATCGGGAGAAGTCAAACATCCAATCCTGACTCTCTCAGAGCAAAGACACACATCGATCATCGGGATCGTCTGTGGCTGTTCAACTTCCATCTCAACATCTTCGGATTGAAATTCTGGAGCGTCTCGCTCCGAAAAGGATGCAGCCTCAGCTGGTGCAGAACTCGCCTCAAGTGGTAAGTCCATGTCCACATCGGCAAGATCAGCATGTTCGGGACCCAGAGATGGTGAGTAGGGGACGTCTCCACCTTCACCTGCTTGCTCCAAAGCTTGCTCCACATCCTCAAGCGACGGCTTGATAGGAGTAGACAAGAACTCACCTTGCCTCTTGCGGCACTCAGCCGAATGGCGGGTGCCAGGAGCATTCATACCTGATTCACAACTCGGACAGTGCCTTGTAGGCAACATTCCAGATGGCAAACCTGGAATCTTTGGTAGTGGCTGTGATGGTACTGGTACCGCCACTTCTTGGTCATTGGGCTCGGCAAGTGGGAGTTGTTTCTCAGGCACAACGGCTTCTTTGGATCTCTGGTTCCGAAGCCATGTCCAATAGCGCTCACAGCACTTCTTGGAGTGTCGACCTTGACGAGTAGCACAAGAACTACAACCTTCGGTCCGTCCATGGGCATCAATCCAATGCCGTGGAGGTTGCACCTTGTCGGGCAGACGTGCAAAGTCCTCTGGAACGATCTCGATCAGTTCCTGATCCAAGATGGCGGGTGCAGGTCCAGCAGAGTCCACTGCACGCAAGAACCTTCCAACCAATTCCAGAGGATACACAATTGGAAAAACGAGCTTCAGGCTCTTTGCTTGGAAAAATTTTAGTTCACCTTCAATCAACGCAACTACAAAGTGTGCAAACGAGTTCCTCACAGGATACAGGTATCCAGCAGTCACAAACCTTCCGATGCTGTTCACACTGTCAGGTGTCTCCGCAAGAACCCTAGAACAGAACATCGCTGTGACAGCATTCTTCTGATCAACCTGGTTTCTCAGGACCTCTCGTCCACTCAATCCTGTGCCATCCAACTTCGAATGCAAGTTGTGCATCGCAATCACATACCTTGAACTGGCTTCCCAGCCAACTAAACTGTTGACCACGTCAACACCTGCTTTCCCCAATTCGAGTCTCAGTACCGCAAGACCTTCTTTCAGCTCACGGACTCCACGCTCCACTGAACCAACAGTATCATGGTTC